GTGGGTGCGTTGAGCGCTGGACCACTTGGCCAACGTGCCACAAACCAGTGCTAACCTGGAAATCAATCCGGGGTTCCAAGCCAACACGGCGGCCCTTCTACTTTGGATCAGGGTTCACAGCTCGCGCCCGCGCGCGCGCGCGGGCGCGTTGCGCGCTGAGCCACTTGGCTGACATGCTGGAAGCCACCGCAAAGGGGCTACTTGAGTGTGCAGGCCAACATGGCGGCCCTTCTACTGCGGGTAGCACGAAAATTCACAACTCGCGCGCGCGCGGGCGCGCGCGCGAGGCGCCTTGTACGCTGGGCAACTTGGCCGACATGCTACAAGCCCATGTTAAACATGGAAAATACCATCGGCCACCGCTAAGGGGCCACTTGAGTTCTCAGGCCAACGTGGCGGCATTTGCATTGCGGAGAATACAGGGTTCACAGCTCGCGCCTGCGCGCACAGGCGCGGGCGCTCTGTACGCTGCACAACTTAACCGGCATGCTACGACCTTTTGCTAGCTTGGAAGTCCGTCGGTCACTGCTAAGGGGCCACTTACGTTTCTAAGCAAACATGGCGGCCATTCTATTGTTGGTGATACAGAATTCACAGCTCGCGCGCGCGAGCGCAAGCGGGCGCGCGCGCGCGCGTGGGCCCGTTGTGCGCTGAACCATTTAACCAAAACGCTACAAACTCGAGCTATCTCGGATATTCAATCGGTCACCGATAATGGGCCGCTTGATTTCCCAGGCCAGCATGGCGGCCCTGCCGTTGCGGGTAGAACTCACAGCTCGCGCGCGCGTGGGCGCGCTGTGCGCTGAGACACTTGGCCGACGTGCTAGAAGCCCATGTTAAATTGGAAAAAGAAATCGGCCACCACTAAGGGGCTGCTTGAACTCCCAAGCCACCATGGCGGCCCTTCTGTTCTGGATAACGCAGAGCGGCGGCTCGCTCCCATGCGCGCGGGCGACTTGTGCGCTGAGCCACTTGGCCGACATGCTGCGCCCCCATGTCAATTTGACAATCCAGTCGGTCACCGCTGGGGGGCCACTTTAGTTTCCAGGACAGCACGACTGCCCTTCTTTTGTGGATAACACAGAATTCACAGCTCGCGCCCGCGCGCGCGCGTGGGCGCGTTGCGCGCTGAGCCACTTCACCGACGCGCTACAAACCCATGGTAAATCGGAAATCCAATCGCTCTCCGCCAGGGGACCACTTGAGCTTCCATGCCAACATTGCGGCACTTCTATTATAAGTGATACAGAATTCACAGCTCGCGCCGGCGCGCGCGCGCGGGCGCGTTGCGCGCTGAGCCACTTGGCTGACGCGCTGCAGCCCCGCGCTACCTGGAACGCCGATTCGGTCACCGCCCAAGAACCCCTTCGTTTCCAGGCCCCTTCGTTGCCAGACCGCTGAGAACAATGCAGAAATCACACCTCGCGCGCACGCGCGCGTGCGCGTTGTACGCTCGTCCTCCTTCTCCTCCTCCTCCTCCTCCTCGCCCAATCCTCCTCCTCCTCCTCCTCCTCCTCCTTTCCTCCTCCTCCTCATCCCCCTCCTCCTTCTCATCCTCCCCCTCTTCCTCCTCCTCCCCCCCAAAGCTTGCGCAGTCAATGTCATCATACTTCTGCTCGCCCCTTTCCTGCTACTCCCGTCGCTCCTCCCTTCTTCCTTTTAGTCCTCGTCCTCCTCGTGTTCCTCCCCCGCCTCCCCCTCCCCCGCCTCCTGATCATTCTTCTGCGCCCTGCCTGTTTCGGCAAGGGCCGCGAATGTGCATACACCCGGGCGTGCCCAGGCTGACCCACGAAATTCAGTTTGACGGCTTCCCCATCAATTTCTCTTCGTTACACGGAATGTTCCCGCACTTCCCTGATCAAGACATTTCGCCTGGGTACTTTTGCTGGGTGGACCGTGATGGATACGAACAGTAACGAAACCAACTACGCATCCAACCGCCAATGAAACTACACACGGAAAGCCCCACAAACATGTTTCGCACGTGGCGTTCATCGTGCAACAACACTTCCAGAAGGGCGAAAGAGGCGAAGCCTTCCCACAATAAAATCGCGATTTCTGAATTCAAGCACACACGGCCCTTCAGGGCAAAACCAACAACAAACCATAATTCTGGATTTCCCAAACCATGCCTTCGGACAAAAACGTAATTTTTAATATTACATTTCAGTTGTGCCCCCCGGCCTGGCTGTTAGCGTTTTTGGGTGGCCCCCCCTTCCTGTAGACGGCCCCCTCACTAACAAGTAGGCGAGGGTGCAGCGGTGGAAAAGAGCGTATTCATCCATCCTCTTGGTGTGTTGGCTGGGACTTTCCAAGGCAACGTGCGTGTACACTATGGTCAGGGGTCAGGATAATAATGCCATCTGGTGTTCGCGCTGCAGGTTTTGCGAATAGTGTGGCAACTCGCCTGTCGTTTGGCGGTCTGTAGTCGAGCAAGTCCAATCCTTGTCGGATGTTTTGCCGGGTAGCACCCTCGGTGGGGCCGCGCTGCGACGACGACGGCAACCTCCGCCCTCTCTTCTCCTCGTCCTCCTCCTCCTCCTCCTCCTCCTCCTCCTCTCCCTCTTCCTCCTCCACCTCCCACTGCTCATGCTACATCTCCATGTCCATTCCTCGTCCTCCACGAATTAACCCACTCGCGCCCCGAGGCCAGTCGGAAGGGCGGTCTGGGCGCTTCGCATGTTTTCCTTTAGTAGTACCATTTCTGATTCTGAAGCTTGAGATTTGGCAACCGTTTCACACATGGAAGGCTGGCCGCCTCCAAAAAGTAGCTCTCGCCCTAGTGCCGCGCACATTCGTTACTTCACTGATTTAGAGCGGATCGTTTTCAAAATGTGGCTCTCGCCTTAGCGCCGCGCAGGATCGTCTGAAACAGTTGCAAGAGCTTTACGGATTGAGGGCGGGTCCTGTTCAAAATGTGACTCTCGCCCTGGCGCCGCGCGCAGTCGACATAAACATTTGCAAGGGGCTCACGGTTTCTCATGGTCAGCGTACCAGAAATGGTGCTTGGAGAGATACAGGACTCTCAGAACACACCAATTACCTTGATCCGGGGAATGGAAGTCCCGATCACGGCGTTCTGGCACGATTCAAATTTGCAACCGGGGTCTCGAAAGTGGCGGCTCGGCGCTCATCAGGATCTCAGAACGGCTGTTTCCCAACGGGGAACTTCCTCTGTGGAAATGAACCCTTGCATGGGCCTCTGAAGAAAGGGCGCTTGGAAGGAGGGCGTATTCCTACAAACTTGGTGGGTGGGTTCACTGGTCCTCCTCCTTCTCCTCCTCCTCCCCATCCCCCTCCTCTTCCTCCTCCCCCTCCTTCTTCTCCTCATACTCCCCCCTCCTCCTCCTCCTCCTCCTCCGCCTCCTCCTCCAGTCCCTGTTCCTACCTTCTCCACCTCCTCCTCCTCCTCCTCCTATTATTATTACTACTCCTCCTCTTCCTGCTCCTCTTCCTGCTCCTCCTCCTCCCACCGCTTCTGCCACCTCATCCTCCTATTCATGCTTCCTCTTCCTCCTCCCCCTGATTCTCTCCGTTTTGCCAGTAATGTCGCTAATCCGTGCGCGCGCGCTCCGTAGGAGGAGGTGTTGCCGAATGAGCAGGAGAATGAGCAGGAGGTACAGAAGGATGACAAAGCAGGAGGAGGACGCGCGCGCACGGACTAGCGACACTACTGGCAAAACGGAAGGGATCAGGGGGAGGAGGAAGAGGGAGCAGGAAGAGGAGAAGGAGGCAGGAGCAGTGGACAGTGGGAGGAGGAGGAGGAGGAGGAGCAGGAACAGGAGGAGCAAGAGGAGCAGGAGGAGGACGAGGAATAGCAGCAGCAGGATTGGAAGGATCGGGAGGAGCAAGAGGACCAAGGAAAAGCGGGGAAAAGGAACAAAGGTGGGCGACAACAACGATCAGGGAGTCGGAACCAGAACTGCGGCCCACGCTTGGGCGAGAGCACTATTCTGAACGACGGGAGCAAACCGCCGATCCCAAAACGAGGCCCAATTCTGCAGCAGGAGCGCCATGTTAACACACCGAGATCGTTCCGAGTCTGGACAAAAACATCGGAAAAAACCAACTGATGAACTCCCGCATGTAAAAACAACCATATACGGAACGAGCGGTCAACTTTCGGCACGCAGTCGGGGGAGAGAGGAGACTACGGTTGGCGTTGAAAAAGATAGCGTGCGATGTGGCGCCGCCAGCCCACCTTGAGGATAGCGTGCAGCGAAGAAACCCTGGCAGGAGACCAGCATGCACGGAAATATTCATCGCAGGGGGATCGCGTGCACGGAGGAAACTTTATTTTGAGGATTGGCGTGCTCTTCGAAGATCGGAATTGCACGCTACCTTTGCGACACCAACCGTACGAATAGAGGGCTCAAAGATGGGGGTCCGAGTAGATGAGGTCGGGTCATCGCGCCGCCTCGGCGATGCACCGGCGACGTCGGCGGTGCATCTGCGACGCCAGTGCGGAGCAAATCTGGCTCCACATCGAGCCGCATCGACGATGCATCGGCGATGTGGAGCTATCCTCCGACCCCATCTACTCGAATCTAGCATGGGAGGCCTAGCTAAGTACCCGTCGGTCGAAAGAAGGTGGCAGAAACATGAAGTAGGAGGGCGTTGAGAGTAGATTGGGCTTCCGCCTGCCCCCTGAAGAGGAAGAAAGAGGGAAACCCGCTGGACTCTGAAAGTGGGAAGGCGCCTCGAGTAGGTTGGGCATTGCGCGTCCAAAAGTACCTACTTTCAATGCCCGATGGGTATCCCTGTTGAGCAGTCGCGGGGGGCAGGGCAAGTGCAGGGAGGGGCGGCGCGGGCAACTTTGGGAAGGGCAAAACGTACCCCTAGACCATCAAAATCCGGGGCGGGCTCCTCCAAAAGCGGCGGCAAACCCGAGTTCCAGCGTGCTCGAGTCTTACGTTCCCCCGAGGCGGGGTCGGGCGAGGCGCGGCCCAGACACGCCGGCTGGCCGCGCGCGGCCCTCGCGCGGCAGGGGCCCCCGCCGCCTCCGCCGCCGCCTTCGCCGACGGCACCACCCAGATGGACTCGGCCGTCAGGGCGGTGCCCTCCCTCTCGGCCGCTGCCGCCGCTGGCGCCTGGGTCTTAGGTCGGGCATGTCCTCCTACAGGCGGATTCCGGAAGAGGAAGAAGAAGTAAAAAGCAGCCAAAAGTACACAACACTGGCCAACCACAGTTGAACAAGTCGTCCCCAGACCATGTCTTGACTCGCTTGACACCTTCCTCCTGTAGAGGGGCATGTCCGACGTAAAGGCGTAAGGGCCTGGGTGGCCGCGCCACCACCAGGCACCGCCCGGCGTCGCAGCATCGCGGAGCCTGCGGGGCGGGTTGGGGGGGTGGGCGCCGGGCCCTGGCTGGCCCTCGGCCTCGCGCCCTCGGCTCGGAGCGGGCCAGGGAAGGGCGTCGCGCACGCGCCGCGCCGGCACAGAGGACGTCCCGTGGGATGGTCGGCCCGCGCGCAACGGTCGAGCTGCGGCCTGAACCCAAAAGATCAGTCCGCGAGCGCGCGGCCCAAACCAAAGCGAGAGGGGGCACCACCCCGTGCATCTAAAACGCCAAGATATTGTAGCAACCGTCAATTTCAAGATAGACGTCAATTATTGTAGTTTAACCTCCAAGAATTAGTTCAACCTCCAAATATTAGATCGCACTCTAAAAACTACATCCATCGTCGTGTAACGTACGAATAGTAACACATGGATACACTTGTACGTATATATATATATATATATGAGCACGTATAAGTATACTTATGCATGCACCACGCGACTCACACGCCATGGGCCCGAAACGGGCGGCGACCCGACTCACGAGCGAGTGGTCCCCTAAATGTTGGCAGCCCTTCACTCTCACGGTACCGTACAAGGGTCGGCGGAGTTCTGCTACCGATGCATCGGCTGTGAGACCTTGGATTCGCATGTTCTCTTGGGGTTTTTGGTTTGTTCTATCCCCGCGTTGATCTTTGCGGGTTCCTCGTCGAGCCGCGGTGGTCGGCTGGCCCCCTCCGATACGTCTGGTCGTGGAAGTCAGAGTGTCGGGTCGCTTCAGCTTCCGCAGCCGCTTGGGCCCAAGGATGCCACTGCGTGGAGGCGTCAGACAGCGGTTGGCCGAAGGAGAACCCCCACCTCCCCCAGATCCAATTGATGCGCCCGAGTCCATGTCGCTGAGAACTTTTGCTGGCGGCGGGCGAAAGCGGCGTAGGTCGATTGGTGGATATTTGGAATCCCTATTCTTGGTGGGTCGCCTGTCCGGCCCCGAATTTCAGGAAGGAGCTGCGGCTGCTTCGCGGTCTGACTCTGATCAGTTATGTGCCGAAATAGCGAAAGCTGGGAATCATGGTGATCATCGGGGGAATTGCCACAGAGATGTCATGACTAGACTCAACAGATCAGCCGCGCGAAAGCCGACAATTTATCAGACCAACGTGAAGTTCTGGAATACGGATGCAAACACTCAGATGGAAGACGTGTGTAACTTTATCCTTCCACACGAGATCGCTGATTACATCGTTCGAGAGAGCCCAGACCCTTCGGTGTATTTTGGATTCGGGGACAACGTTGCCCTGGAGGCTACGTTCAGAAGGTGGTGTGCGATATATGCTCTAGACCCCAGCGCGTCTTTGGCAATAGGGCTTTGGGGCGATGCTGCTGCTTACCACACTAGAGACAGCCTCTTCGTCGTCATGATGAACGTCGTATCTGGGTCTTCGCATCGAAGGTACTGGGTGGCGAGTTTCGCCAAGCAGTCGGTGTGCCAATGTGGGTGCCAGGGGAGGTGCACCTTCGAGTCAGTATTTCTGGTACTGGCTTGGAGCTTCAATTGCTTGGCGACGGGTCGTTGGCCTTCGTTCCGAGACGATGGCGTCCCTTTCAGCGAGTCCACAAAACGCGGGGACAAGCATAGGGCTAGCACAGCTGCATCTGGCCGCCGCTTACTAGTATGTGGCGGCGTCGTGCAGAAGAGGGGGGACTGGTCGTGGATGAAAGGGGCGCTGGGCATGCATGGATGGGGTGATGGAGGCCGAACTTGTTACAAATGCATGGCCAACAAGTCCACTGTGCCATTCACCGACTTCTACGAAACAGCAGTGTGGAGACAAACGTGTTTCAACCATCGGATCTTCATGCAGTCGTGTTTCAGTGATGGGTTGTTTGTGTCAAGCATTTTCAAGCTCCCATCGTTTGATTTCTCGTGCATTTCAATTGATCTCATGCACACTCATGACTTGGGGGTGCTCCAGTACTTGATGGGATGCGTGATTTACGAAGTATTCATTGAGCTAGGTTGCCGCGTGACCAACCCAAGCGGACAGCCAACGTACATCGTCACATTGATCAAGCAATCGCCCGGGCGGGTTGGGCAAGAACGGCCGCCGATAAACAAGCTTACCTGGGGCATGGTCAAAGGCAAGGGGGCCCCAAAACTCAAAACGAAGGCGGCGGAGGGTAGGCATCTCATCCCATGTCTTAGGTTCATGCTTCAAACTTTCGTGCCAACTGATTCGGCACATGCCCAACTTAGGCTGGCAGCAGTTAGGTGTGTTGCACAGATTTACGATGTTCTTGAAACGTGGGGGCCCGATAGTCCTGCTCTCCTGCGTAGGGTCAGTCGGCAAGCGTTGATCGCCTATGGCGAACTAAACCAGGAAGATTTAAAGAGCCGCGGTTGGCAGAGGCGGGTTTTTTTCCTGTACAAGCTTTACCCTAAGCACCATTTGTTGCAACATTGTGTGGAGCATCAAGTGCGGGAGGGGGGGGGGCCGTAATTCGTGGTGCTATGCTGACGAAAGCGAAATAGGGGCTGCAGTTAGGGTAGCGGGGTCGATGCACCCAGGGACACTCCATAGGAGTGTAATCGACAAGCATCGCGCCATGCCTTGGTAGACCCAGCCAGGATCGAACAGACAAACCAGATCGGGCATCTTAAATAAATAATTAAACATATGATGCCCTCCTCCTCCCCTCCCCCTCCTGCCCTTAACCCCCCCGCGTGGAAAATGCCTAAAGGGTCTTTCCTGGATCTCACCTCCTGCCTCTCCTCCCCCTCCACCTCGCCCTCCGCCCCGTCCTATGGACAGCGGTGTTGCAAACAGGCGAGGCGCTACGCACAGTCGCCCGTCGCCGCCCGTCTTGTGCAGTCGCCCGTCGCCGCCCGTCACAGAGCACGAATACTTATCTTTTGCAGTGCCATCGCCGTTCGAGAGAGACCCAGCGAACTTGCACCGATGGAGGCCCATGTAACATAACACCCTCGGGGTTGGGCGTATGCTTGGACCTCTTAGGCACAGCGCCGCCGTCGAGCGAGCAAGTGATATAGTGTTCGCCCGACGGGCCTCGGGAGAGCTCAGGGTGAACACTCCTTCGCTTTATTACCGTCCGTAGCCATTGGCCCATGCGAGATGACAGCAAATTGCGCCATATGTTTCTGCCCTCTCTCAGAGAGCACGCGGCGGTGGCCATGCGCGCATGAATTCCATTTGTCATGCCTCAATTCGAAGATTGCGTTTGATCCGTGTCCTTTGTGCAGGACTGAGCCAAACCACAACGACGTGCTGGCAAATCTACACGCATTTCCCGCGGTTCCCGAACCAGTCCCACAGCCAGTACGAGATGCAACGCCCGAGTGGAGTCAAGAGCAACCTTGGGCTCGCATCATACCCTTATGCTGTCCGAGAGTTGTGATTGTGTCAGAATCAGATCAAGACCCCGTGCAGTTCGCAGCTGACGAAGCAGACCGTAGGATGCGATGGGCCCCAAGTCGTCGCGGCGCTGAGTTTCTGCCTGCATGGATGTGCATGCAGTGCGGCCTGACGCTCGACGACAACGCGTGCACGGAGGCTGCAAGGCTCATGGCAGGAAAACGTTGTCAAGTACATGGCCAGCCATTCCAATTGGTGGATATGAGATTTCACATTCAAAGCATCGTGTGTGCAGTGTGGGACGACCACGACGTGGCGCGTCCAGTGGATCCCCCTTGCGACTACGTGGAGGCTGCCATGTCCGTGTCCAGCGACTCGGTGGAGGAGCTCCCAGAGCACGACCCCAATCCAGATCCAGTGCCTCTCGCAAGGCGCGACGACGAACCCGAGGCCGCTCCCGATGAGGATGTAGCAGACATCGGGCTCATCGGGCTTAGGGGTGAAGCACTAGATGCACTGATTGACCTTGAAGCAGTCTTGTCAAACGCTGAGGGGTTGTTTGATTAGAAACCCGACGTCGTCGTCGTCGTCGTCGCACGGGGCTCCAAGGGCCTCTGCGGAATTCCAGTGATTCCCGTCGTCGTCGTCGTCGTCGTCGTCGTCGTCGTCGTCGATGTCTCTAGAGGGCAAGGGGCCATCCCCCATCTCGGGCTTGAGACCCGTCAGGCTGTATCCTATCGTAGGCAATTCCTCGGCGGGTGTCAGCTGCGGCCTGAGGCGCGCACGGAGGAAGGGGGCACGGGCGGCTATGATAAACATACGACGGGAAAAATCTATAATAAACATTCAGAAACTACGAATGTATCAGGCGGGGCGAATCTATTTTATAGAAAAAACGGCCTATGTTTAACATAATGTTTGTTATGGGATTCAGGTGGTGGCGTCGGCAGCCCTGGCAGCGCGGGCCCCGTGGACTACGATATTCTTGCTCGCCCTCTCATCCACTTCCCCGCAGCCGGTTCTGGATCAAGCTGGCCTCGAAACCTCCGGCGCAGTGCGACCCTCGGGCACTCGCGAGGCAATGGGGCCGAAGCGCAAGGCGACCGATCTTCCCAAGGCAGTCGCGGAGTTCAAGGAGATGGTCGAGAAGGAGGGCAACGGCATCTCGCCAGAAGCTGTTGCCGCTGCAGACTCTAGAAAGCGCCAGAAGGCGTTCACTGCCATGAGGAACGCGCCCCAGACCTCCAACCCAGAGAAATTCCAAGAGTACAAGAACATCCGCGACCGCTCGGAACTCAGCGAGTGGCTTGCTGACTACATGCTGGACCCAGAGAAGGGCGGATGCCTCGGCCGCAACTGGGCTCAACGGACCACGTCCAAGACCGAGGAAGAGATTGAGATTTGGCTGACTGAATCACAGCTTGCTGGCCCGAACTGGCTGAACTGCCCGAGGTTGGCGGGCATCGCGATCACCAGCCCCCCGAAGAAGCTGCGCAAAAACCAAGCCCTCGCCGATGCCAACGTGTTCGTCTACAAGTGGAATGCTGATTGGGCAAAGAATGCGAAGTCCTTGGTCAACGGGCCGGAGGTGGACATCACGGCGGAAACGGGCGCTAAGACCTACAAGGACGTGAAAGCTCACATGGAGGATTCGCGGAACCCAGGCTTCTCCGAGCCAAGGAAACGCGCCGCCAAGAGGCATATTGTCAACGCCGAGCCCCCCTCGAAGGAGCAGCAAGCCGTGCAGAACCTGACGGCGGCGGTGTCCCACATGAAGACCACGCACGACAAGGTCAACTCTGAGCTGGGTAAGGTCTGCGTGGTGGAACAGAGGCTTCGCGAGAAGAAGTGGGATGCGACGGGGCCCCTCAAGTTCTTGCGGGATGAGACGACCAAGGTCAATAACCAGAACAGCAAGCTTCATGACAGCTGGGCAAAGGCATCTACGCTCGTGGCCACCCTGAAGTCTAAGCCTGACGCGGATATCGACGCAGATGCCCTGAACGCGAAAGCCAACGAGTACGAGGCTCAGGCGGCTAAGCTCATGGCCACGCACAAGCTGTGCTCCAAGGAGTGCCTCCAAGAGTTCGCCAAGAGCAGCTCGACGCGAGGCCGGGTACATCGGTCGAGGGACGATCCAAAATGCAAGACTTAGGTGTTACGGCTCCTGCTAGCCACAAGCGTGCCACGCTCATGAGTGTCGACCGTGAGATCAGCCCGTTTTCATTGGGGAATCTAAACGCGCTGTGAACAAAAAAAACACACGCACCCCTGATCCCCCGCAGAACCGTAATACAAAAATAAAAAACCACACAACACACACCAGCAACAAACATCACACAACACGCGCCAGCTAGCAACGAAAATCGCACAGCACACACCAACAACAAACATCACACATCACCCCATAGATTGCACCACGCACGCAGATTGCACCACATAGCAGCCTCTAATCATACATGGTTGTCAAGCGGACGCGTTGGACCCGAGTTTGAAAGAAAAAGAAATCGGGAAACGAAATCGGACATCCATGTTGTTTAAAGTCGGTAGGGGGTCGGGACCCTCTCGCATAGATTGAGCCATTGCACGGCATAGATTGCACCCTGACCCTGCCGCGTGTGTTGTATTCCATGTGGTGAGAGAGAGCGTCACTGCCGCTCAGTCTTTAAACCAAAAGCCGAAGTACCACCTACCGTTCATTGCTGTCGAGGCCGTCCGACTTACTGGCCTGAACGCGCTCGTGTCCTCCCCCACCCCCTCTGCACTCATAGCCATTTGGGCTCGATCGCGGTGCTCCATAGAGGGGGGGAACTATGCGCACCTCAGTGTGGACGGCTCCGGATGGCCAGAGCACGAGCGAGGCAATCAAGACAATGATTGCTGATGGTTTCAAGGCCGCGTTGTGCCAGGGAGGTCTCGGCTACGCGTCCGACGACATGAAAATAGGCAACGATACGGATACGTTGGAGAAGTGGTCTGCCAACATACTCGGAGCTCTCATATCTCTCGATGTCCGCGGGGGCTTCTTTGCGCAGCTCGCCGTCGAGTCTGCGCTGAAATCATTGTCCGAGGAGGATGACTTCAATGCTGGATTTAAGGGCCTTGCCATGACGCGCATGATTAGCGAGAGGAGGTGCATCACCGAGGTTGCCTACAAGATCAGGGTCATGTTGGCCCACGTGAGGATCAAGCGTAAGCAATGGAGTAAGTTGACAAGACCCGCAGACCAGGCCCGAGAACACCCTGCAGGCCTCGTTGCAGTCTATGAGAAGTTCGTCCAGTCGCCCTCGAAGCAAGCGAGGGCCAAGTGCGATAATCCCTTCTTGAATTCCCAAAGCAACGAGCACGACAACGACGAGAACGACCTCGAGGTGGACGGCGAGCCAGTTCCTAGCACTTCGAGCATCGTGATGGGAGACCGCGTCTGCTACGCGAAAGTGCTCATGAGCGACGGGAGGTGCGTCATCGCCGACAAGTGCACGGTGGACGAGATCGGCTTCATCGTTGCCCATTTCCCCAACACCGACGAGACCTACAGCACGGAGATCATGGGGATTCATTTGGAGCCCGATGGGCAATTCATTTTGCGCCCAGCGATCCCCGCCACTGCTCCGAAGTTGAAGCGCGGTCACCCTGGCGACGGCGACGACGAGGCGGAGGAGGACGAGGCCGAGCTCAAGGACGGCACGCACAAGGGCAAGGACAAGGGGAAGGCCAAGGGCAAGGCCAAAGGGAAGGCCAAGGCTAAGGCCAAAGGGAAGGCCAAGGGCAAAGCTAAGGCCAAGCCCAAAGCTGCAGCCAAGGCCGCGGCTGAGCCATCGTCACTCGTCGACGTGATGATGGAACTGCCGCCCGACGCCCACTTCCCTGGTCCAGACCTGGGGGTCAGGAAATCGTACACCTTGAGCCGTGAGGATGAGATCTCCAAGATATCCGTCATCTTGAACGTCCAGGCTTTCTACATTTCTCACGTGGATCACGTGCCCCCGACCGTCGAGCAGAAGATCGACAACAAGGGTGGAGTCACGATGTCCTTCAGGCACGCCCCTGAGGATACCTGGGAGATGGCTGAGCTTTTGGCAGGCTGGGCTGTCGAGGGCGGCGCCAGCTAACTGTCGAGGGCGGCGCCAAGGAGGAAACGGGGAAAGGGATGGAGGAGGGAGGAATGGAGGGACAGTGAGGGAGAGATAAACTATGATAAGAACCTTCGTCGTCGTCGTCGTCGTCGTCGTCGTCGTCGCACGGGGCTCCTGGGGCCTCTCGGGGAGTCCACTGGTCCCCGTCGTCGTCGTCGTCGTCGTCGTCGTCGTCGTCGTCGTCGTCGTCGTCGTCGTCGTCGTCTGGAGCACTTTGGAAAAAAGGGAAATTCAGGAGTTCCCCTTTTTTCAAACTTGAAGATCGTCGTCGTCGTCGTCGTCGTCGCCCCGCTGCTGCTCTGCTCTTCTTCCCCCTGCTGCCGCTCTTCCCTTCCTCTCCCTCTCCTTTCCTCCTCGTCCTCGTGCAGTCGCCATTTTGGCTCAAGCTTCGTGCAGTCGCCATTTTGGTTCAATCCATTCCAGCCCAGATGTGTTAAGAATGTGTACAGATATGTATACATACATATATGTATGTATGCGTATATATGTATATTTTCTAACACATGTGGGAAGATATGGGGAACTACAATAGTTGTTGCCGACTCCATATATTGGAGGCAAGACAATCATTGGAGGTTTACCTCCAAGAATTGTAAGACGTCAAGATCTTGTAGTTTCTGATGCTCGGGGCAGCTGTGCAATTCTCGCTCTGCTGACTCTGGTGCCTGAGCTGCGCCACGAGGCGGGCAACACAGAAACAATGGAAAACAGCAGAAATTCCTCGCACACAGTGCCGAGGACATCTCCAAACGCCCACTTTCACTGGCCTCTTCCTCCTCCTGCTCCTCCGCGGCGGCAACAGCTCAGATCACCCGGCGGCGGCAGCTCAGATCACCAGTTTCACTCATTTGGTTGTCACTCGGAGTGGCAGCCACATGCAGGCGCTCCTCCCCTAGACGAGCGCGTTCGCAAAGTAATTACTCTCAAATGGCCTGGATCCGCCGCGGGGGATCTACTATACATTACATCAAAGCAGACATGTGCTTATATCGGACGTTTGCGATTAGGCACTTGGCGAGTAGTGGAACGCGCTCGGTGATGCCCCCTCCTCCTCTCCACGCAAGGCTGGCTGGACTACGACGGACGAGAGGCCCACGATGAGGCCGACGTCGACGCCGACACCAACGCCGCCGAGGATGACGGCGCTGGCGACGACGCCGAGGCCGACGGCGGAGCAGGCGACGGCCATGCCGCCACCGATGACGCCGAGGTCACCAACGCCTGCCACGGCGGCGCCGGCGAGGGAAGGGCGAAGGAGAGCGACGGCGAGCGGCGGCGACAGGCGACGGCGGCGGCGAGCACTGGCGGCGGCGGCGGCGAGCGACGGCGGCGGCGCCGAGGCCGGCGGCGGCGCCGACGAGCGACGGCGCCGGAGCCTCTCCCGCCGCCGCCGGTGGAGCTCGGGGCCGGCTGGCGGCCCCGGGGCGGCGGGGCTCAGCGGCCCCTGGGCGCCCCGCGTGCGTGCCGGCGCGCGGGCGGGGCAGTGGCGGCGGCCAGGCCCCGGGAGGCCAGCCAGGAGGCGGGAGGCCGCCAGGATCGGCTGCAGGCGGGCTTGATTGGACAAGACACGCGGGGGGACACCAGACCCTCGCGACGGCCACACAGCCACAGGAATGTTGGAGGCAGGGGTCCTCAGGCTCAAGACGCAAGGGTACTCTTGACTTGGCAGGGTCGACGTCGGCGTGAAGAAAATCGGGCTCCGCATCGAGCAGCATCGCCGATGCATCGGCGATGCGGAGCGATCCTTCGACCCCATCTACTCGGACCCCATGTGGGATGCCTACACCTGGGAAAGGGTGGCCGGGTGGCCTCTGGTGCGTGGCTCCAGGGAGCCGCGGAGGAGGACGACGACAGGCGACATTGATGACACTGACGACGACGACGACGACGACGACGACGACGACGAGGACGAGGACGACGACGCGGACGGACGAACGACGACAACTGACGACTGCAGCGCCAGCGGTTTTTCGTCAACTGGCGCGCCGTTCCCGCAAAAGAAGAGGGACGGAGAAATGAGGAGGGGGAGGGAAGAAATAAGAAGGGGAGGGCGGAGAAAAGGGGAAATACGACCAACGACGACGACGCCGACGACGACGACGACGACGACGACGACGGCGGCGGCGGCGGCGGCGGCGGCGGCAGCGGCGGCGGCTGCCCAGCCACGCGAAACGCGGCCTGCGGGCGCCCATCCGGGCGGGGCGTCTCTTGCCGCGCCGCCGGCTCCGCGGCGGCCCTGGTGCGAGGCGCGGTCCGCCCGCCGACCGCCGAAGCCGCCGAAGCCGCCGAAGCCGCCACCGCTGTCGTCGCGGACGTCGGGGCCGTCGCGGTCGTGGTCCTCGTGGTGGTCGTGGTGGTCGTCGCTCATCGCCGTCGGGGTTCGAGCAAGCTGTTCGCCGCTTCGGCCTACGGCAATCCCGCCCTCGGGGCCCCGGACCGTCCAAGCTTGAGAGGGTTTCAGCTGTCGTCGTCGTCGTCGTCGTCGTCGTCGTCGCTACCATCATTTCTCGCCCTCCCCCTTCCTCTTTTCCATCCTCCTCCTCATCCTCCTCTTCTCTCATCCTACACCATATCAACGTCCGCCTCCTCCGCCTCCTCGTTCCCCTCATTGGACTTCACTCGTCCCCCCAACTCGTCGTCCGTCTACCACCGTTTTTCTGTTTCTCCTCCTCCTCCTCCTCCTCATCCTCGTCCTACTCCTCATCCCCCCAAACAGCTCCCTTGTAAAAGGTAAGGGGGATGGGAGAGTGGCGAGAAAGGATGAGGTGGAAGGGGAGCTAAGCGAAGCGTGCAGATCCGCCGGCGGGACTGTTGAGGCTCAGCGCGGGGGGGGCCCTTCTACGGTGGTGTCGACGTTCACCTGAAAGCCGTCGCATGTGCAGCAGCTGTCGCAGGCGAGCTGCAATCAGCATGGGCAACTGATGTCGTTGGGTGTTCTTGTTTTGGTGCCCACTGGCTGCTTAGATGCCAAGATGCTGACCATGTCATGGTCCCATCTTTTTCGCTGCCCTCCACGTTTTCATTGGGCGGGGTGCGTTTCATGCAACGGAGGTTCCCAAGTGGCGGTCCGCCGGGACCATAACAGAACATGTTGATTCGCTGAAAGTCCACAGACATCTTTTGTTGAAGCGACATGTAGCCGAATTGTCGATCTGGGATCGTTTGGAGTAAGCGTTAGCTGTGCGCGTTGCTCTCCTGATGACATCAGCACAGGCCTCCGTGATGGTGTCAACTGATTCGTTGTTGCAGTCGTTGTCACTACTGCGGCTGCTGTCGTTGGAGCTGCTGTCGGGAGCTGACTTCCCTAAGTTGGTTGTCCTCGCGTGTTTCGGGGCTGCCGGTTGCGAGGTCCACTCGGCCGTCGTTCGCGGGGGGGGGGGGGGGATTGTGCGCCCACTGCTGGTGCCAACTGTAAGCCTCATTTTTGTTTGTTCTGGCCGTTGTATGTTACGGACATGTTTGTCGTAAGAATCAGCGAACTGCATCCGTACGTAACGGCGGGCGCAACAGTCCCGCTGAAGAGTAGCAAGCGGCTTGCAAATGGGTAGAGCTTACACGTCAGTTCGCGCCTTGGCTGGTTGAGCTTGCGCCGCCAGAAGCAGTTTTATGATTTACTCGTTCTCGTGGTAGTCGTGAAATGGTGTAATGTAAGCTCCTCGTCCCAAGCACCTCGTGATGAGGTGGAGGTGGAGGTTGAGGGAAGTGAAGGGAAAACGTAGGAGGAAAAGGGAAAGGTCAGGAGGAACAGAGAGGAGGCAGAGGTGAAGAGGGAGAAGGTCGGAGAGGAGAAAAAGGGGATCAACAGAAGAGGCGAGGAACAAGAGAGGAGGACGGTGATGAAGAGGAGGAAGAGCCTCTCAAACATTAGCCTGTCGAAAAACCCATTTATATTGAGCTGTAGGTACCGCGATCGCGTGTATAATCTTCGGTGGGGTTTCTTATGGGGGGCGCGACATGTGTGAGAATGCCTCCCTCTGTGGGCCAAGAGGCGGTGCCTGCGTTGCAGTACGCCATGCAGGGCTCCCCATCTCCGCAGGTCGCTCCACCCAGGAGGAGTTCCCTGTGGGGCTGCGAAACGCTGTCCCGGGTGGGAGACGCATGCGAACACCGCCACTAGGGCCTCAAGTGGATCTCCCTGTGGGGCGACGAAACGCTGTTCTGGGTGGGGGAGACGCATGCGAACACCGCCACTGGGGCCTTCGGTGGAGCTCTCTGTGGGGCCACGAAACGCTGTCCTGGGTGGGGGAGACGCATGCGAACACCGCCATTCGGGCCTTAGGTGGAGCTCGATGTGGTGCCACGTAACCCTGTACTAGGTGGGGGAGACGCATGCGAACACTGCCACTGGGACCTTAGGTGGGGCTCCCTGTGGGACCATGAAACGCTGTGCTGGGCGGGGGAGACTCATGCGAAAATCGCCACAGGGGCCTTGGGTGGAGCTCCATGTGGGGCCTCATGCGAACACCGCCATTCGGGCCTTAGGTGAAGCTCGATGTGGGGCCGCGAAGCGCTGTCCTGGGTGGGGGACACGCACGTAAACACCGCCACTGGGACCTTAGGTGGAGCTCGATGTGGGGCCACGAAACGTTGTCCTGGGTGGGGGAGACGCGTGCGAACACCTCCACTGGGGCCGTAAGTGGAGCTCCCTGTGGGGCCACGAAACGCTGTCCTGGGTGGGGGAGGCGCACGCGAACACCGCCACAGGGGCCTCAGGTGGAGCTCCACGTGGGGCCGCGAAACACTGTCCTGGGTGGGGGGAGACGACGCAAGCGAAGACAGCCACCGAAGCCTTACATGGAGCTCTCTGTGGAGCCACGAAACGTTGTCCCGGGTGAGGGAGACGCATGCGAACATCGCCACTGGGGCCTTAGGTGGGGCTCCCTATGGGGCCACGAAGCGCCGTACTGGGTGGGGGAGCCGCATGCGAACACCGCCACTGGGGCCTTAGGTGGAGCTCCTTGTGGGGCCAACGAAACGCTGTGCTGGGTGGGGGAGACGCATGCGAACACAGCCACTAGGGCCTTAGGTGGGGCTCCCTGTGGGGCCACGAAACGCCATACTGGGTGGGGGAACCGCATGCGAACACCGCCACTGGGGCCTTAGGTGGAGCTCCTTGTGGGGCCAGCGAAACGCTGTGCTGGGTGGGGGAGACGCATGCGAACACCGCCATTTAGGCCTTCGATGAGGTTCCCTGTGGGGCCACGAAACGTGTAAGGGGTGTTGCGAAACTGGTGGCGATGATGGTGACGATAACGGTGGTGATCACGACGTCGATGATACTGGCAACGATGATATGGCGATGACGATGACGATGATGATGATGGTGGTGGTGATGATGATGATGATGATGATGATGATGATGATGATGATGCTGATGCTGATGCTGATGCTGATGCTGATGACGACGACGACGACGACATGCGCAGGGCAGAGGCAGGGATGGGAGGAGGGAGGAGGGGGAGGAGGAAGGAAAGGAGGGAACGACAGAACGCGAGGACAGTCTCTTGGAGACGAGACGAAGACCCAACAACACAGGATGGTTGGGAACAGACGGACAAACGGACAGGCGGACAGACGGACGACGACGTCGACGACGACGGCGACGGACGACGGACGACAACGGACGACGGAAAACGGCGGCGAAGACGACGACGGCGACGGCGACGACGACCGAAAGCTGTAACATATCGATCCATTCTGAATTGTTCCCCCTCCCGAAACGATTCTTGACTGCTCTGTGCTCCGACCAGGCCACGTGGAAGCCCCAAAATACGAAGAACGTATCTTCATCCCGGCGACGGCGACGACGGCGGCGACGATGACGACCCTACGGCGGCGCGAGCGCCCCCGAGCCGTGCCAGCGCCCCTCAAGCCGGCCGCCAGGCCGCCAGCGGCATCGCCCCTGAGGACGCCGCCAGGGACGGCAAGGACGACGAAAGCAAGGATGGCGACGAGGACGATAGCAGAGACGAGGAGGACGGCGAGGACGGCCATGACGACAGCGACAACGATGAGGACGACGATGGCGACACGGACGGTGAAGACAAAGATCGGATCGAAACTCGGGGATCTAAGTTGGCGTTTTCCCACGGTTTTCGGGCATACAGGTGTCTTCCCTCCGCAACGGTTGGATCCGCCTCACACTTGCGACCAGATAGGAGGACGAGAAGGATGAGGAGGAGTGCCAAGAGAAGGATGGCAATGAGGTGGTGGTCGTCACCGTCTTTTTCGTCTTCGCCGTCTTCGTCGTCCTCTTCAAAAGTCGACCCCCGAACTCTTCCAGTATCCTCCTCCCCTGGTTCCTCCTCCTCCTCCTCCTCCTCCTCTTCCCACTCCTCCTCCTCTTCCCACTCCTCCTCCTCCTCCTGCTCCTCGCGCAGCGCGCAGTCTGTGGCGCCGGGGCACTCCCTGAATTCCTCCAGCATCACGACGACGAATAAGACGCGTCGCGCCGCCAGCGCCCGCCGCACGCCCTTGCTGGCGCGCCTCAGCGCCTCGTCGGCCAGCGCGGCAGCCGACGCAGTGACGGTTTCGCGTCCGCGGCCTGTCTGGAGATGACGCGTTGCGGCGCGGTGCAGCCCCAGCGCGCCGCGAGAGCGCTGGTGGCGGCGCCAGCATCCGGCCCGGGGACGAGCACATCCCCCTCCTCCTGCTCCCTGTTCTCATCCATCACCTGCTCCTCCTTCCCCCCCTTTCCGCCCCCTGCTTGACCCCCCCCCATTTTCCTCCTCCTGCTCCCCCCCCCCTCCCCCTCCATCACCTGATTACGAGAATCTTCCTATCCCGTATGTCCCAAGTCGGGTTTCCTTCCCCCTTCCGCTTTCCCCTCCTCCGCCTCCTCGTCCGCAGCGCCCTGCTCCCATATTGGCCCTCATCCCTCTCAATCTTTTCGTCCTGCCCACGTAGACCTGCTCACGGGTGACACCAAAACCATGGACCATTTCGGAGGGGGGGGCGGCCCCCTGTCGTCCCCCTTGTCGTCCCCCTCGTCCTCTTCCTGCTCCTGCTCCAACTCCTCCTCCTCCTCCTCCTCCACCTCCTTCTCCTCCTCCTCTGGTTCTTCCTCGCCCTTGCTCTCGTACACCTTCGCCGCTCATTCCTCATTCTCTCCCTCGCCCTCGCCTCAACAATCTGCCTCAATGCCCCCAGAATTGGTTTCGATCCGATGCGCCCCATCATTATCATGATCGCGCTCCGCCCCATGGCCCACCTCATCATTCACATCCACTGGGCTGCTTAATTCCCTTCATGTTCGCTGCTCATTGGCATCCTCATCCTTCGCCTCCACCTTGACACCACCGCCACCACCACAACCGCCACACTACCAACACCATCGTCCGCATCATCGTGATCGCCGTTATCGGTGCATTTTCAGCAGCATAGTCATCACCGTCTCCAGCAGCATCAGCATCAACACCATCACCATTGTCAACAACACGTTCGTCATCGTCGCTGGTATCACCACCGCCATCACCACCACAACCATCATCATCATCAACACCATCCTCATCATCATCAGTATCGCCATCATCGCCGTTGTCAAACGGCGTCATTGTTATCGCCACAAAATCGTCATCACCATGGCCATCCTCGCTCATGGTCATCTGCGAAAGCACACCCGTCGTTTGCGTCGGCATCGTTACCTTCACCACTCATCACCGCCATCACCAACGTCCTCCGCAGCAGCATCGCCATCACTAGCACAGCCATCCTCGCCATCAGCGTCGTTATCATCTCCAGTAACAGAGTCACCATCACCGTTGCCGATCGTCATCAGCATCAGCACCATTATCCCCGTCGTCATCATCAGCGTCACCAGAAACCACGACCACTTATCGAGTGCAGGTCATGGCCAAACAATCTGCTCTACCAAGTAGGGCGAACTGCGCTGGATGTCTTCAACTTGAACACCAGGTCACGGGTACCAGCACTGCCGACGCCATGTCGGACGAAATTTCGATATGCGCCAGCATCGCTATCACTAAGTTGCGCGCTTTTGCCAATCATCGGATTTTGTTGACCTCCATCTCCGCCCGTCTTAATAATCACAACTGTCTCGGCCGCCGTGCTGTTGCGAGTGCAATGGCCACCAGCGGGGCCCAGTGCCGCAAAAATGTGACCATGTGACCTGCGAGAAGGGCGAAGCTTATCATCGTGTGACCTCTATCATGGCGCAGCGAACGCACGCTGGTCACGTTTATTCCTCATCTTAGCCTGCACCACAACACAGGCAAGTGCGGACCCCGCCCTCGCAGACGACGCCGCGGGCTGAGGTCTCGCGCAATCTCCTGGATGGACGCCGACAACCAGCGTTCCACGATAACCCGATGTGCTTCAGGGACTGAATGATGAAGTTCCGATGCGGACACATGCGCATTGCGACGTTCAGCTCGAACGCGTCGCTGTCGAGCGCCTTCTCGACGCACGTCGCTGGCATCTTCATCTCCAGCTCCTGGCCAAGATCATCCAGCGCCTTTGCGTCCCCCCCCCCCCTCCCGCGCCGCCGCCCGCGCCGGGGCCCTGGAGGTTGCGGGCCAGCCCGCGCGTCTCGCAAGGTGAAGCGGAAGCCGTCATCTCTTGGTTCTGCGCGACGTATTTTTGCGCTCCTCCTCCAGAGCCAGGGTCAGCGGCGCCGCCTGCTGTGCCCGAAACGCGTCCAAGACCGATGGGTTGATCTTTCTCGTGTCTTGCGCGTTTTGGTTTCATTCTTCATCGCCGAGCTGAGCGCCCTCTTCGCCGTCGGGCCCTGGGTGGCATTGATGTCTACTGAGAGGCCCTGAGGCGCTGATGCGCTTGGGCCACCCCGGCGACGTTGCTTCGTCCTGCTCTCGCCCGTCGTCGACGCCCTTGTCGCATCTGCCAGCCGACTGGCAGCGGGCGTCGCCGCGGGCGATCGAAAGCGGCAGGCGCTGGCAGGTGCGCATCTGAAGCTGGGCCAGGCGCCGCGACGGATCGACGCGGCAGAAGGGGGGCGTGAGTTCAGCAGGCCGTTGCACGGGAGTTTCCCCTGCCAGCCGATTTGCGACGCCAGAGATGATGCGCCGCGGCGAAGTGGCGGCGCTGTCTAGCACGCGCCATTGGTTTGAACGCGGAGCTGAATACCGGGCATTGGTGCGTCGCGATCGCGAGGCGCTCGGGGCTCCGAATCCCGCGCGGTTTCGACTGGCGCGGGCGGAATCTCTTGCGCGACGCGAAACGTGCGTCGCACTTGCAGCCTGGCCCGGGGACGGAGGCCGCGCCCGTGCATGGCGCCCAAAAAAAAACCATTATCGGTGACAGGCTGGGCGCCTGCCAGATCGCACTCAGGCGGGGCATCTGATGGGGGCGGAAGCTTGAGCGAAGGGCCCTGGTGCCCAGCGCGCAGTACTCCTAACCTACTCCGTTGTTCCGGAAGAGAGACATCATGCTTCCCTTCCAGATGCTTCTGAAAGTCTCGCAGAATTCTCGCGAGGGCTGCCTCGAACATGCTAGAAGAGTGAGGGGGGGGGTCCGCCCTGGGCCAGCGTCGCAACAACCCCGCGATCGACTCCGCGCCGCGCGACGCCAGGCCTCGCCGAGGGGGGGCTCAAGCACGACGGGGAGCTTCGTCGTCGCCCGGAGCCAGGGCCAGCGACGCACTCGCTGCTCAAGAGCGCACGGGCAATCTTCCAAAACCCCCATCGCGCGCGCACGCGCCCCCCTCCCCCCCCCCCCATGCACCGCCATGCGTTGTGGCAGGAAGATGCCCCGAGATCGGCGCACCCATGCTCGATGACCAACCCTCCGAGGAAACAACGACGTCATCCCAGACGACGCCGCGCCCTGGTGCGCGCGCGCGTGGGTGACCATCATCTGGCCAATGGTTTCCTGCAAGACTGGGCGACCCTGTTCGAGCGGCATCGGCGAAGCCTCGCGCACTTCTCTCCTGGTACTTCTCGCCCTTCATAGAGCCCCCCGCCCGCGCGCGCGCGCCCGCCGCCGCGTCGAGTGCATCCATGTGCGATGCGTTGTGATTGCGCCGACAATCAAATAAGCGAGCGCGCGGGCGTGTGAACGCAGCGTGGCTGTATTTCGGGCAACGCTGCGCAGGGGCGATGGGAATGCGTTCGCCATGGAATGCGATGTTACTGAAAAAGAAATGCCACGCATTCTCTGACGCCACGAAGCGACGTGGCAGCCAACCGCGGCGGATAATTGCCTCGACTACCGCAGTCGCAGCAAGCGAAGAACAGCGCGCGCGCGAACTATCACTCGAAGAGAGCTGCGCCAGAAGAGGCGCGCATCATGGATCATTTTGATGCCTCGAATCTTGGGCACTCGACCACGCCTGCCTAGCTGCCACGCGTGCAAGATGTCCAACCAATGGGGCCCCCTGCGCGCCAGACATTCGCGGATCGATGCCGTATGCACTGCGAGCTGACATTCTTCTCTCCCTTCTCCTCACTCTTAGGTTGGGATCCAATGCCCGCGCGTGCATCCTAGCTGGCGGACATGCTGTCGGAAAGGCGGCCCCATGCCACAGCTCAACTGGCATGCTCCACGGGGGGCAGCACGGCGTCGGCGGCACCTCTCAGTTCACGATGAGCGCGCTTCAAACCGAGCAGCGCAAACTCGTCACCATTTTTCCCGGGGTAGAGGCGAGGGCGGGGCCACCAATACCTGCGCCGTCTCGCGGCGGGCGAAATGGATCGAGTGTCCCGGGAGTCCACTATCAAGGCCCGACGTCTGGAGTGCATCATTAGGTGAAGTACAAGTAGCGCGGACGCCGTTTACCGCATGGAAAAAAACGTCTGTGTTATTATCTTAACGCCTGCGGGCTGGCGGCACCATCGGGTGACAAGAGCGTGATCGTTCTGGCACCAAGCGTCGGCCTCGCCTGGGATTTCACTGGCTTGTACGAATGTGCAGACTCCTGGTGGACCTGTTTGCTCCACTCCTGTACCTTGTCGGTTCTCGCCAGGTATTCCTCAAGGCTCCATGGTTCCTTTGATAAAATGTAGCTGGTTGGGCAAGCAGTCGGCGACGACGTTGTTTCCAAAGGGCCTCCTAAGTGTCTGGCGGGTCTCTCCCGAAAAAAACCGATGGGCAATAGGCGTCCACAAGGTCACGGAAACGTTTCCAGTGTTGGTCAGCCGGCAGGGCCTCCTGGGGATTTCTTTATTCATCCGGTCGGTCCTCCAACGCGTCCTGCGCCTTCTGAAGAAACTAGTCCGTGAGAGTACCCTTTCTGGACGTGTTTGGCAATCACATCCTGAATCTAGGCATGAGTATTGGTGCGCGGCTTCAGCACTGCTAACTCATAGTGCGATTTCAAAGCCCACCAGATTCTCTGAGCCCGAGCGCACCAGGGATATCGGTATGTAGGCGGTCCCCTGCAAGAGCCTTATGCAGACGGCGGGAAAGCGCCCCGCGTTCAGCACATGGTACAGTACCTACCTTCAGCTGGCGGGCGCAACATATAGGCACGGTCAGTGTTTGCCTCTCATGGAAAACCCTCGGGCTTCGGGGGCTTCACCTCAACAGTCGCTGTAATAATAATCATCAGCATCATCATCATCAGCATCATCATCATCAGCATCATCAACAACATCGTCAACACCATCATCATCATCATCATCATCATCATCATCATCATTCGCCTTCTCCTCCCAGGTGTACTCCTTCTCCTCCTCCTCCTCATCGGATCTACCCTTCCTCCTGCTCCACCTTCTCCACCTCGTCCAACTACACACCACTCATTCCCATGCTCCTCCTCATCCCTCTCCTCGTCCTCCTTTCTCGATCTCTCTCCGCCTTCCTCGCCCATGCCAGTTCTCCTCCTCCGCGGTCCCTCTTCGTCACCGCCTCCTTTTTCTTCCCCTTTCCTCCCCATAGCTCACCCTCCTCCGTCGTCCGTCCTTATCCACCTCCCCGTCCCCTTCTTACCCACCGTTCTGCAAAATCGTTCTCGCTCCCCCTCCTTTCCGTCCTTATTCTCCTCCTCCTTGCCCTCCGCTTCCGTCTTTTTCCTCGTGAAGAACCCCGAGACGGGTCGGAGGGGCGGGCCGGCCGTTTCGCCTGAGACTTCCTCACAACGAACGTCTTGAAGCTGAGAAGTTGCAACGGTTTCGCGGATAGAGGGCGGGTGGTTTTGAACATGTGGTTTTCGCCTCAGCGCCGCACGCGTTCGGTTGTCTCAGAATTTACCAGGACTTCAAAAATGAAGGGCGGGTCGCGTTTAGAATATGGCTCTCGCCTTGGCGCCAAGCACATCCGCCTTCAAAGTTTGCCAAGGTTTCACACACGTAGGGCTGGTGAACTTCACAACGTGGTTCTCGCCTTAGCGCCGCGCGCAGTAGTCTTAAAACACGGAGCGTGAGCTTCATGGATGGAGAGCGGTGCCTATTGAAACGTGGCTCTCGCCTCAGCGCCGCGCGCATTCGTTTTCAAAGATTGCGGGGGCTTCACGGATGGAGGCAGGCTCCTATTCAAAATGTAGCTCTCACATTGGCGCCGCGCAGATTTGCCGTGACACATTTCGTGGGCTTCGCGGATGGAGGGCGGCTAATTTGGAAAATGCGGTTTTCGCCCCAGCGCCGCGCGCAATCGTATCCAAGGTATTCGAACAGTTCACGGATGGAGCGCGGTTCTTTATGGAAATGTGGCTCTTGCCTGAGCACCACGCACATTCGTCTTGAAAGCTTGCGTGCGCTTCACGAATGGAAGGCGCCCCTTTGGGAAATGTGGCTCTCGCCCTAGCACCGCGCACATTCGTTTTCAAAGCTGATAAAACAACAACGATGGAAGGCGGCTCATTTTCAGAATTTGACTCTCGTACCAGCGCCACGCACCAATGTTTTAGACAGCTACAGCCATGGTCTACAACACAAGCATGTTGATTCAACGCGGTTTCATATCGCCAAGCCACAACCGCCATGTTGACTAGCGGAGATGAAGTCCCAGAACTAGCGTACTGGCACGATCCAATACCGTCAGGACGGAGCAGTAACGCTGACTCGCGGTGTTGAAATCCTGGGACTGGTGTTCTGGCACGCTTCAGGGTGTCTCCCAATGGAGCACTTCCGGCACAGGTAATGGATCCTTGTAGAGACCTGCGAAGAGGGAGCTTGGAGGGATGGTTGATTGCAACAGCGTTGGTGCGTATCGAGTTTACTCTGGTCATCTTTCCATCCCCTCTTTTTTCATGGTGCGTAAACATGAGCAACGAGGCTGCTGCGTGCTGTGTCAGACAACCAGAGCGTGCGGCGCAGGAAGCGCGACGAGACACAGACGAGTGGAGAAGCCCGCGAGGGCGTAGAGCTCCATGCCTGTAGGCTTCGGCAAGGCCTCCTGCCCGCCCCTCCAGCTCCTCCCAGTCCCATCCCCTTCCCTGCCCCTCGTCGTCCACCAACCCCCCCTTCCCCGCCCGGCTCCTGAGCGGCGCCCGTCCCCCCAAGCAGGGGCTCCGAGGCCTGTCTTGGGCCTGGAGGATCAGGGCAGAGAGAGGCTGGAGGATGGAGTAGGGGGAGGAGGGAGACGAGGAGGATGAGATGGAGGGGAGGAGGATGAGGAGGAGGAGGAGGAGGAAGACGACGACGAGCAAGAGGAAGAGGAGGAGGAGGAGGAGGTGGAGGACGAGGACGAGGAAGGCGACGACGAGGAAGAGGAGGAGGCGGAGGAGGAGAAAGGAGGGGCAGGGAGGAAGGGAAGGGGGAGCAGGGGAAGATGGAGGGAGGAAAGGGAGCGGAGGAGGACGCCGAGGGAAGCAGGAAGGGGGAGGAGGAAGGGGGGGGGGAAGAGGCAGGGTGAGGGGCGAGGGACGCGCTCAGCGCCGCTGCATGCGTGCCCGTTCGCCGCCCTCTGGAGCACGATGTCTCGGCCCAGGCCGCCAAGCGCGAGGCGCGACATCTGCGCGCCCGTGGGGCCTTTTGCGAGCGAAGGCGGAGAATATAGTGCGGGCGCGGTCGCAAGAACCCCTCGCGAGAAACCCAACCCTGAAACCCCGGGCGCGCGCGACGTGCAACTGGAGGGCAGAAGCCCAGAACACCCTGAACGCAACAGCTTCTTTGCCGGCCGCGGGAAATCACCGTGCTGCGCGCGGAGCGGGACAAACCCAGGGCACCCTTCCGAAAAACATAAGATTTCTTGATGCGCGCCTCCACTGACATGATGATGAGGACAAGGAGGTTCGGGTCGGACGAACGGAGGGGTAGTAAAGGAAGGCTAGCGCATCGGCTCACGTAGCTGGTTTTCCTGGCGCCTGCCGGCGGCGGAGGCGCCAGTGTATCGAGGCATGCGTCCGGCGGCGAAACCAGCGCCCAGGGGGGCAAAGACCTGGGCTCGAGGTTCAAAAATCGAAGATTGGGCGGGTGGTACCTACGTGCCTCCGGGGATCTACTGAACCGGGTCAGTCCAGACCCGGGTCAGTCAGTCTTCACAAAAACCTGCAAGATCCTGCACCCAAGCCCGGGTCACTGCAACCCTGGTTCTGCAGGTTCCTGCAAGATCCAGCGCTTTGACTGACACCCCGTTTGCATGGACCCCCGTCTCTTGAGCCCCGATGTCCGGCAATGTTTTAGCTTCTGTGGGCCTCTGGAAGCCTCTGGGGATGCCGATGCGGTCCAGGATCCCGGTTGGAGGTTCGATGATCGATGACGACGGGAGAAGACGTAAACGACATGGGAGTGTTGGAAATATCGTAAGGAGCGCAGATGACTTACAAACAACCCGTATAATAAGAATGCGCGTTAAGGGTGCAAGGGCCTTGGAGGGCCATGCTAACGTTTTTCAAGCGAGGTTGGCCAGCGAAAATCGCTGAGGATGGGCCGAAGGGGCAAAGAAGCAAGGGTAGGCTTGGAAAATTGCTGATACTTACTACGCGGGTTGACTGTGCAAACAGAGCCTTGGGAGATATGCCACATCCGGCTCCCTAACCAACTTCCCTGTCAAGAGGCCCATATCTGTATGCGTGCGGTTTACACATGGTTGTCAGGCCGGTGGGCGGTCCGCGCGATCTCAAGTCAGTGGTTCGTGGTCTATGGTGGTGGCTCATGATCTCGTATCGCGGCTCGTGGTCTCCGGTCGTGGTCTCTGGTCGTGGCTTGTGGTCGTACGCTCTCGTCGTGACCTGTCATCTCTGGTCGTGAACGCTGTATCTGGTCTTGATCTCTGGTCGAAGCTCGTGGTCTCGGGTCTGCTGTCACATGGTATAACATGGCGCAGTAAGGTGTATAATCGCGTAGCATAGGAAATTGTAGTACAGTATACCGTACAGTGGTATCTTCCCCAAACAGTGCTTGTACTTAGGGATTCTTACTTCTGTTGTTAGGATCTGGACCTGATTGCGGGTCTGGCGGCTACGTTGTCGCCGTCGCCGCGCAATACCCGACTCGTCGCCACCCGTCGTCTAGGCCTGACTGCCGGTCTGGCGGCTCTGTTGTCGCCGTCGCCGCTGCGTGTCGACTAAATTTCAGATTGCACCGCGTATATTGCACACTTTGGGCTGCACCGCATCTATTGCACCACATAGATTGCTTGTACGACATGTATTGCTCAACGTAGGCTGCATAGCATAGACTGATTGCACGACGTACGTTGCACCAATAGATTGCGCCGCACAGATTGCACCAATATATTGCGCCGCGTAGATTTAACCAAATAGATATCACAACATGTATAACACTACCTGTAATGCGCCGTGTCCCATGCATCGCACACATTACGAACTGCATAGAGTGCACCACGTAGATTGTACTATGTGAAATGTATGTGAATATGTGTATATATACACATATATATACATGTGTCGGGCACACGCGGGTTATTATATACTGCGCCACGTAAATTGCATCTCGTAGATGGCACACTACATATACAGTGCATTACCGATGTAACACAACAGAAGTTGTTCCACATCGATTGCACACCATAGATTGGTAGAAACACAACTTTGGTGGTCCACGCTGGCTAACGTTTGCTTATCATGATGTTGGTGGATGTCTGCCGCCAGTGGGGCAAAGTTGAAAAAAAAGGCATCGTGTTCTGTGCGGTTTTCCGAGGACCTGCCCCTGCCGCTCTGCCCCGAATGCATTCATCGGGGAGACGTAACACTCAGATTTGGGGGTCCCGGGTTGGCCCGACGGAGCCATTACGACAATGGCGAGACCCAATCGGAAAATTGACGCGAACTCTCGCTGTAGACATCCTACGAACACCGGACCGTCAAAATCAATTGCGGGCCCGCCAAAAAGCGCAGGCGAACCCGAGTCCTGGCGTACTCGACTCTTGCGTTTCTCTGAATTCAGGTACAACCAAGGTCCAAAACTGGCCTCTCTCCTTGTCCGAATTTCTCCGTGGCGAAAATTTGACTGCACTGGTGTAGGAAAGGAGGTCAATGTCGATGGGCTCAGGGGGTGCGGATAGGTAGCAATGGCGCGGGTGTGCTGGCATTCAGCTGAGCGGAAGGACAACGAAGGGTATTCCCAGGAAAGGTGTCCTGATCCAGCCAACGGTCGCCCGAGGCCTCTGGCGGTACAGATCCAGTGAGAGGAATAGCAAGTGGAGGGCGTGGAATGGAGGAGGAAAACAAGAAAAGCAAGGGAGAAGGGAAACCGGCGGCGGGATGGACGACGGAGGAAGAGGCAATGATGAAGAACCAGTCGAGGAGCGAGAGGTAGGAGTGGAAAGATGTGGCTCCACGTGATTTCCTCAGCCTCATCCTCTTCCTCCTCCTCCTCCTCGAGCCTCCTCTTTCTCATCCTGCTCTTCCTCATACTCTTCCAACTCCTTTTCCTCCCCCCTCCTCTCCCCTCTCCTCCTTCTGAGGAGTAGGGGTCGAGCGACGAGGAAGGATCCTCCTCCTTTCTTACCCCTCCCTCCTCCCCCTCCTCATCATACCTCCTCCTCCTCCTCCTCCTCCTCCGCCTCCTCCGCCTCCTCCGCCTCCTCCGCGTCCTCCTCCGCCTCCGCCGCCTCCGCCTCCTCCTGCTCCTCCCCTACTCCTCCGCCCGCCCCTGCTTGGATGGCAGGGGCCGCGTCATTGACTCGGGCGTAACTCAGGGCCCCGTCATTGACTGGCGGAACCAGTGAGAGGGGTGGTCTGTGTCGGCGGGGTCTAAGCAGAGCCGGGGAGCAGGCCGCAGGACTGGCGGAAGCGGGTGTGGTCGCGCCTCCCCCAGGGAAGGGGGGCTGGCTGCTGTGGGACTGCGCCCCTCCCCTCCTCCTCTCTTCCTTCTCCTCGTCTCCTCCTTCTCCTCCTCTCCGCCCCCTCTCCTCTGCTTTCCCACGGCGGTTCAACACTCCGCCTGGGTCGGAAGTGGTGGATCCGAGGCGGCCCGCGGAGCGCGCTGCCGCCGTGAGACACGCGGTGGTTGATTTTTCAGCTGCGTGCAGTTTTGTTGCAGCGCCGCGTCGCCCAGGAGAGGCCCGGGAGATGAGATTAGTTCACAACTGGCGTTCGCGCAGTGAGCTCACCCAGCGAGCGCTTCCAACATTGCGCTCAAGCACAGGAGGCCGAGTATTCAGGATTCCTCAATGGTTGAGAAGTCATCCGCCCCCGCCACCTCGGCTGCGAGGAAATTCGCAATACGGGGCAGGCCACCGATACTCCACCGATACTCCCCTACCCCTCCGTAGTGGCACTCTTGGCTCCAGCCTTTTTGGCCCGTGCCAGGCTCGAACTGCCCCTGCTCGGCGGGCGGCCAGTGCGAGCACGATGGCGGCGGGACGCGCCGGGGCGCCGTGGGAGTCTGCAGCCGAGCGGCTAGCGCGCCGTGAGCGTGCTTGGCTGGCTGCAGATGCTGCGGTGCGCAAGGCCAAGGCTGGAAAACGCCGAGGGCTGCCTCGAGGCCCTGGAGGGCGACGCGCAGGTGGCGCACCGCGTGGCGGCTGGCCGGCGGATGCGAACCGACGTGGGCTGGAGCGCCTGCGGCGCAACGCTGCTCTGCACGCCTGAGCGGGCGGCCTGGCAGGCCACATCAGCTGTGCGTCGGCGGCCAAGGGATCGCGTTTGGGCGCTCGGCATGCGGAGCTGCTGAAGTCTGTGGAGTGCGTGGTGGAGATCTGCGTGGCGGGCGTGGAGGAGCTGCCGGAGAAGGTCCCGTCGCTGACGGAGCAGCTGGAGTGCGACGCCCTGCCCGACGCCCACTTGGTCGTGGAGCGGGGAGCGCAGGTCATGTTGGACACCCAGGCGGACGCACAATGCGAGACGATGGACGTCGTCTGGGACGCCGCGACGAGCGCGCTGGCGCTGCTGCAGACCCACGGGGTGGCGTGGCAGGACTTGACGTCAGTGAGACCGCGGCGTGGACGGCTGTGCACGTGCGTCAGCACGATCCTTGCGTCGGCGGAGGGCGCGAAGATCGCGGAGTGCGGAGACATGGAGGCGCCTGAACAGCTGAGCAGCCGAGGGGACACCTGTTGGCTGAAGGGAACACCTGTTGGCTGAAGTGGTTGTCGGTATAGAATTGCCCGTGAACGCGGCCGAACTGG